TGGCGGGCCGCTGGCGGGGCTCCAGCTTGTCGTCCACAGGGAGCCGATAGCCATCGAAGTCCTCGTCACGCGCGGGGACGCAGTCGTCCACCGCCAGGTCGTGAGGGCCCGTCCCGAAGGCGAGCGCCGCGTAGCCGTGCGCCACACGGTTGGTAACCAGGCAGGGAAACCCGATCGTCTTGAGCGTGCTCTTGGAGTGCGCACACATGCGCTTGAGGGAGTCGAACAAGTCCTTCCCCGTGATCCCCTCGCAGGCCTCAACCACGAAGGTGTTGCATCCCCTGGCTATGTAAAGATCCAGTTCCTCGTCCCGACCGATCCCTGCCCTGGTGCCCCGGGCCTTCTTGTCGCCCTCGGTGGCCCGCGCCTGCCGCTCGGCGGCGAGGACGTGGCGTTCGGTGAGGCGGTTCTGGCGGTCCAGGCGCTCGATGATCTGGGCTTCGGCCTCGGCTGTAAGCCCGCCCAGGGCGCCCGCCGCCCCGGCGTCGCCTGGACCCCCAGCTCGCTCCCCACCCAGGCCGCCCCCGTGGGGCGTCTGGCCAGTGAGGTGGCCAAGGACCGAGGCCCCGTCGAGGAGCGGATTGGCCCCACGAGCGGCCCCCCCGCGTCCATCGCGTGCCAGCAGGTCCCGATCACCCAGCAAGCCCCGTCGTGGGCCCGTGGGTTGGGTGGGGGGCATGGCCCCGAAGAGCTCGCGTCGGGGCCCCTGCTTCGGGCTGGGATCCCGTCCCCGCGCCGAGCGACTCCGCGACCCCTCGCGTGAGAGGCTGCCCTGCAGGGGAACCTCGTCGGCGGCCGCAGCACGCCCCCGCGCGCGCGCTTCCAGCTGCGCATCCTCCAAATCCGCGAGGGCGCGCTCCAGATCGGACCCCAACGGGCCCGCCGCTGCCACCTGTGCGACCCTCCGCCGTAGCTGCCGTTCCGCCTGATCAAGCGGAACCCCGAGCAGGTCCGCGGCCATACCTAATGCACCGAGGGCCGCCGCTTGGCCCCCCCGTCCTTTGAGATCCTCGGCTCGCAAGGAATCCATGAACATTTCGAGGGGGTCGGGCTCCTCAGCACCCTCGCTCACGCCGGCGGCGGCCGCCGCCAAGCGCGACGGTGCCGCCACGGGGGCTGGGCGGGGCAAGCCCTCCATCCCGGGCGCAGGCTGCGCCCCCTGCGCGCCGCCCCGCCGATGGTGGCCGAGTGTGCGCACCGGGTCGTGCTGCAGCTGCTGGCGCTCCGTGTTCGTCAGGTAGCGCCGCCTCCAGCCGCTCGCGCTTTCCACGTCCACACCGCCCCACTGCTCCTGGCGTAACATCGCCAGCAGATCCTGCGGGATGTGGTGGGCGATGACACGCAACCCCACTTCCCGAGCCCCTTGGGGGACCTCGTACAGCAGCCGATTGATCCAATCTATCGGGTAGCGCCCGTCCTCCAGCGGAGGGGGGTGCCGTACGACCTCGCTGGCTGGGACCTCCACCCTGGCGCCCTCGAGGCTAGTCCCGATGATAAGTCGGGCGTCCCCGCCAGTGCCCCGTACGTCGAGCCCCTCGCATTCTCCCAATAGAATAAACCAAGGACTCGCCGGGGGCGCGCCGCACGCCTCCTCGGCTCCCCGAGGGTCGCCCGGGAGTATCGGGCAGACCTTCACGAGTAGGGGCTCCTGAAGCCACCCGTGATGGGCGATCCGATCGCCCGGGGCTCCGCGGTCGGCAGACCGTGAGCGTCCGCTGGCCCTTGCTTCCGCGGAGCGTGTGCGACGCGGCTGCGGCCCAGAGGCTAGGGCCTGCGCCCCCGTGGGCTCCACATCGACAGATGGGGCCACGGCGGGCGGTGGCGGTGCAGCGGGGGGAGGTAGAGGCGGGGGGTAGACCGGCCCGGGCGCTATGCCAACCCCATCGGCAGCGTGCGCGGTCCAATCGCGCGCCCTGGCGGGGCTTGGAGCCCGCGCCCGCATGCGGCGGCGCAGGCCCCCGAGAATCCCAGGTTGGACCGTCGCTTCGACGCGCACGGTGTGACCCTCGTCCCGTCGGAGATGTTCCCCGCACATCGGGCCCCCCCGCAGCTACCCTTCGCCATGCGGAGACAAGTGGGGAGGCTGCACTTGCGGCCGATCAGGGTAGACCGATACTTCTGCGCATGGTGGGCGCAGAGGTGCACCTGTGCATTGAGACAATGCCCCGGCCGGGGGACGTCCGACACCTCCGCGTCCTCCTGTAGCAGAACAGTAGCCTCCTGCATCCCTCGGTCGCCGCACCCCTCCGGCTGGAGGGGGCGTGCGCCACCCGCGAGCTGCACCCCAACTTGTGCGGCTTGGCAGGGGCGCTCCTCCGCCTCCACCTCGCTCTCCGAATCGATGTCCAGGCGGCGATAGCCCGTGGCGTCGGTGATGTAGCGGGGCTCCGGCCGGCCCCGGCACAGCCATCCGAGAACCGACCAGGGTGAGCGAAGCAGCCACTTGACGACCCCGAATACCTTCCGGAGTCCCACGCCGACTGCCCGGCAGGCCGTGGCCTTTCCGTGCTCAGCCAAGTCCACGATCTGTGTGTGGTCAATGGCCGCGTATTGGTCGACATGCATGGGATGCGCCACTGGACAGGAGGCGCACTCGACGGCACGACATAGATGCACGTTCCCTGTCTCCTCGAGGTTCAGCCGCCACTTGCGACTGGTGCACCCCAGGACCTGCCCGATCTTGATGTTGAGCCCGTGGCGGTCCAGTCGGTACCGGTCCGCGAAGTTGCAGCTGATGCGAGCCACCTGCCCGTGCTTGCGCAGAAGCACGTGGTTGCACGCCCGATTGGTCCCTCGGCCGCGGACCCCCTTTGTGTAGAACTCCGTCTCCACCACGCCGCCCAAGCCCGGCCCGCGCCAGCGCACCAGCAAGGGAGTCGGAGGGGGTGGGGGAAGATGGGCGCCGGGCCCATCGCCTCCGCGTCGCTGGCAGCACCGGGTAATCTGGTACCACGCCCAGCGGAGTCCCCCGGCTGCCCACAGCATAGGCTGGGCTGCGGTGTTGACGATGAAGGCCAGGGCACCCAACACGAACGTGAAGATGCCTAGGGCAAAGCATAGGACCGCGGTCTCCCACCAGTACCCAAGCATCTTAACGCCCAGGCGGTCGACGGCGGATCCAATCCATCCGCCACTCGTGCGGATCGTGCCCGGGTGGTCGGGGGAGCTTACCCACGCTCCGTAGCCCACGAACTCGAAGACCCAGGCTGCGAAGCCCCAACCGGGACCTGGCCCCGCCTCCGGGGGCGGGGTAGGTGGCGGCGGCGGCGGTGGGGGTACGTTCCGGCCAGCCCACCAATGGGGCAGGTGCGGGACCCAACCACTCCACCCCCAATACCCGTCCAGCCCGCGCGGCAGGTCAGGCTCACCGTCGCCCGTCCGGTTTCCCGGGGCGGACGGCTGCCCAGGCGCGCCCGTGGGTTCGTTGTTACCTCCGTATGCCGGCGTAGCTGGGCTGCCCGTGGGCTCGCCCTCGCCTACGCGCCCGATGCCCGCGGTCGTGGTCGTTGTAGTCGACCCTGACCGCGGCGGCGGAGGGACGCCCGGCGTCCCCGGGGGCTTGGCCTGCGGCCCTCGCCCCTTTCCCCCTGCAGGCGCGGGCTTGGCGGGCGGTCCTCGCCCCTTGCCTCGCCCCCCACCGCCTGCCGGCAGCGCTGTCGGCCCGGGCAGGGCTGGCGGCGTCGGCGCTGGGACCTCCTGTCCCCCGCGCCCGAACGGCAGCCAGCTAAGTGCCCCTTGGACCGTGAGAGCGCCGCCCGTAACCAAGATCATCAGGTGCGCCCCCAGGAAGCCCACAGCCATGGCACCACAGGCGCGCTACCTGGTCCGCGGACTAGCACGGCTGTGGTTATGGCCGCCCCGCGTCCCCCTGGAACACCCGCGCGTCGGCCAGAGCCGAACGCTACGGACCCAAAATGGCTACCTGAGCCCACACCCCCACCCACTTAACCTGCAGTCTACAACCAATCAGACTATACAATAGAACTCCTACACCCATGATCATAAAATGACTGTTTCTTGGTCAACGATGCCTTGGTGTATTCACTAAGCGTTAAGTTTTCGTCATTTTGATTAGGTCATCCTCCTCGTCGTCGGGCAGCGTCCCCTCCAAGGTTTCCAACTCGTTTTTCAAAGCTAGATAAATGTTCGAAACCGTGCGTGGGCAAACGCATTATGTAGCGACCGGCTCCATTATCTCAACTTGGTCCTGTCGCCTGAAAGCGTTGTTAACCACTGAACAGCCTTGTCGTCGCTCACGGGTTTGTTTCCGTTTCCTCCTGCGCTGGCGTTTCCAGCCGACGGCATTGCCACGGCGATCTTGGTAACATGTCGCCCACGTTCTCGCAACCTGCATCGCGAAAATATGCGAACTGGTTTGTGCCTGGATTGTACCAGGCTTCACGTACTTTGGGTAACGATACGTTGTAGCCCGGGTCGTTGTTGGGGTCGCTGCAGCGGCCGCCGCTGCCATATCTGCTCTGGAATCGGGCTCCGCTAACATGAAGATCTGGTAGGAGGCTTTCTTCCTTAAAAGGCAAAATGAACTTGGACCAAACGCCAGCGGGGCGAGCTCCGTACCACAAGATCCGTAACTGCTGAACAAACGCACCCTAGTCGCAAAGTCGAAACGCTATGTAGAAACACCTCTTCCTCCTCCTCCTCCTCCTCCTCCTCCTCCTCCTCCAACTCCTCCTCCTCCTCCCGAAACGCTATCTCCTCCTCCTCCTCCTCCCTCTCTCCTCCTCCTCCTCATCTCATCCTCATCCTCATCCTCATCCTCCTCCTCCTCCTCCTCCTCCTCCTTCTCCTCCTCCTCCTCCTCCTCCTGCTCTTCCTCCTCCTCCTCTTGCTCTTCCTCCTCCTCCTCCTCCTCCTCATCATCCTCCTCCTCATCCTCCTCCTCCTGTTCCTCCTCCTGTTCCTCCCTATTATCCTCCTCTTCCTGCTCGTTCATTATTCCTCGTTCGTGCCTCCTCCGCCGCGGGGATCGCCCGGCCCTGCCTGGTGAGACGCAGCTCGACTCCACCGACGCCACGGAGCACGGCGAAGCTAGCGCGTCTGGGGGGGGGGGGGGACGGAACGGATTCCTCCCAGGAGGGCCTCCTCCTGGGAGAGACGGAAAGGGAAGGGGGAGCGCCTCCTCCCGGGAAGGGGGGGACGAGGGTTGTTCTCCTGCCGGGAGGGGGCGGAAAAGAGGAGGAAGAGGAGGAAGAGGAGGACGAGGAGGAAGAGGAGGAAGAGGAGGACCTCCATAAACCCAAATCATGAACGACGTTGCAATTAAAACATCCCTCCGCGTTCCCTCCTCATAGGTTCCTGTACAGATACACTATCACTGCTGGAAGAGCTCAGTTGGAAGACAACGTCCGAAAATCTTCGATCGCGCCGAACCTGGGACGTCAGCGCCGCGAATCAGCGTTGCCGTTGCGACCGGACGATCCGCAATCGTGCGAAAACACCGCTTCTGGACGCCAGCGCCGCGGATCAACGTGGCGGTCGCGCCCCGGCAATCTCAGATCGTGCCCAAACGTCTGTGCTGAAAGCTAGCCCTGAGACCCCCAGAAGCTGCTGAAAAACTGGTAGGACGAATGTGCGCGGCGCCGAGGCGAAGGCCGAATTTTGCAAAAGAACGGCCCTCTATCCGCGAAGCTCCTGCAAGCCTTTGAAACCAAAGTTCGCGGCGCAAAGGCGAAAACGACATTTTGACAAAGAGCCGCCCTCAATCCGTGAAACTATTGCGAAACCTTTAAAACGAATGCGTGCGGCGCTAAAGCGAGAGCCACATGCTGCAAACGCCGTGCGCTCCATCCGCGAAGCTGTTGCAAGCTGCAAGTTGCAGGAACATCAGGGGTGAAAAAGTGTTGAACAAGAACGCCTGGCCTGCCGCGCCGACCCGTCTCGGGGTGCGACTGGGAGGAGTTGTTCACAAGGAAGACGGACGGAGGAGAAACCGGAAGAGGAAGATGAGGGGAGGGGGGGAAGGGGAAGCCTCGAGGGAGAGAAGGGGGAATGGAAGGGGGGAGAGACGGGGGCGGAGAGGAAGAACCTCGAACGCGCCGGGCGGGGGCGGAGCGGGGAAGGGGGGCGAGGGAAGAGCGGGAAGGAAGTGGAAAGGGGAAGGCAAGGCAAATGCCGCTGCATTTGCTGGTCGAACCATCGAGTTTTTGCATTCGGATGGATGAAAATACGTTTCCTACACGAGGTTGGGAACCTGGGCCCACTGAAACCTCCAGGGGCGGCTCTGCTAGGCGCTCGCGCCCGCGTCCCTGCACTCTTCCCCGCCGGCGCGGACGCCGTGCGTTACCGCGCCAGGCCCCCGCGCGCCTCGCAGTCGGTCGCCGCTAATCCCTTGACGCCGATCGCCATCCGGAGCGCCCCGGATCGGCGGCACTGGCCGGAGGCCACTACAAGAAATAGACACAAATAACCGGATTCCCCATATTTTCCTATATTTTCTGGGTCTCCCCCCACTTCCCATATTTTCCCATATTTTCTGGGGAATCGACGATTGATTGTGTCTGTGTGTTTTGTCCCTCCTGAGTGGTGGCTCCTACCACGTGGAATGTGATGTGCGCCAACAAGCTAGTGCGACACCTCCGGGCGACAGCGTCTCGAGGAATCACAGCGCGGTCCCTCAGTCCTGAAGGCATGGCTTTCGTGACGTATTCGGACGCGGGGGGAGTCAGTGAAGGGGCCCTTGGACACACAAATAAGTACACACAAACAATGGGATTCCTTGTATTTTCCAATATTTTCTGGGTTTTTGTCTTCCCCACCACTCCCCATCTTCCCATATTTTCCTGGGAGTCGACGATTGATTGTGTCTGTGTGTCTTTCCCCTCCTGAGTCAGGGCTAATGCTAGGATGGACGACGCCAGCGGACTGCCCGAGGATCCGACCCAGGAAGTCTGGACGATTCTAGCCGCCGACACGGATTTGTCTCGGAATAGGTCAGTCGGGGCGTCCATCCTCGGATGGAGGAGCAACAAGTTAAGGAGGAAGGTTGCGTCCACCCTGGCGGGGAAGATTCTCTCCCTTTCCGCAGCTGTTGCCGAAGTCGAGTACGCCCAAGTTTTGTATCGTGACATCGTGTTTCACGATGTGGACGTCCCCGATTGCGTGAGAGCGTCAGGACCCTTCACCACGGTGCTGCGTTCTCAGTGTCAGCCGGGAAACGGACGTGAGCCCCAAATACACGTTGTGGATGCCAAGTCGGTGCACGACACGATGATGAAAGAGGGGAACGCCTCGTCCAAGGATAGGCGTACCACTCTGGAGTTGGCCATCATTTCGGAAAGCCTGGCCAAGGCGAAGGGCGTGATCCGCTGGGTTCCTCACTCCAAGATGTTGGTGGATGCGTTGCCTAAAGACGACATAGGGATGTCCAATGCCGCCCTTTCCTAGGTCATGGCCCAGGGCAGACTCGTGCTGGTGGGTGAGCCGAAAGAATTGGAAGTTCGACGTACCACCCCCGCGCGCAAGGACCGATCACGTGCCGCCTCCGAGAGGATGCTGGAGTCCGAGAACGGGTCATCTAGGGTCTCCTCGTGTCCTGGTTTGGGCCTCCTCTCTCTCTCCCTCTGTCTCTTTGTACCTCTCTCTCTATTTCTTTCTCTCTCTCTCTCTCTCTCTCTGTGTATCTCTCGTGCAGAACTGTCGTGCCTGACCGGCACTGTTTGCTGACCTTCGTGCCTTAGGATGCCAAATCTACTAGAAACTTTGACGAGTGTGGAAACCCACCTCATTTCGTGTTTCTGGTGTATCACACAGGTTTAATGTTGCAGAGGAAGCTGTTTGCACTACAGGGGGGTGCAGAGAGATGTGACTGTTATCATTGTGGCTCAAAATGGAAAAGCCTCTTTGCTATCGGTCTGCCTGCCACAAGTTCTGTCTTCCTGCACGAGATCCTCGAGACTGACCTTCTTCGTATCCTGCCACTGCTGTGTGTGTCCTCGTCCATGGCCTGGACGAGACGGGGCCCCAAGTAGATGCGGTCCTCCTTCTTGGTTCCAAGGGCCCACACTTTTCATGTTCTCCTCAATACTTTCCATGCTCGAGGCGTCTCCATTCCAAATTGTTATCTCGACCCGTGCTGAATACTCCGTCGCCATAGTCCTGAACGATTTGGAGATGAGACTTGATACTCGAAGTGGGCTGCCACTTCCCGCTACCAATGTCAGTGGAGCGTGCTATTCCACGGATATCGGCCCTTAACTTCGAGAAAAGTTGTACTTGTTAACGTTTCGAGAGCTTCCTGACTTAGAACGCGGCGGGGATCTGGAGCCAGTCAGAGCGAAAGATAACAAGCACAAACAATACAAGATATCGAGAAGAAATCACTCGTACAGTAAAGTGTATGCAGTGGCCCCCCTGAGCTTCGGACCGAAGTGGGAATACTCACCACACGGCGAGCTGTCTGCTTTAGCCAGACAGGCCACGGAAAAGAGAAACGCAAGGGCACGTGCTGGCGGTTGCCTTATAGGGTCGCCGGACCAAACACAAGAAAACGATGTCACACCATGAAACCCACAGGGGGGGGAGGGGGGGGGAACGTTCGTTTCGGCTGTTCTCTCTGGGGTCGCGGACCCCCCCCCCCCCGGCGGCCCCAGGCACACGGCGCGGCTGCCCAGGGCGGGTCACGGGCAGTGGCCGCCAGTTCGCCATCACAACCCAACACGCTCCCCCGCCCTCTCGGTTCCTGCTGCCACCATCCCTGCTCCCTGTGGACCACCGCCCTGGCTGGCGAGCACACCTGGTAGCCACCATCGCCCCGCGCCCTGTCGACCGCCCTACCTGCTCCTGGCCGTTGTCCTCCCTCCCCCGCGCAGGCTCGCGGCTGCGAGCCCGACGAGCACCTCGCCCGCTTGGGCTGCTGCGTCGGCGAAAGTGGGGGGGCGTGAGGCTGAGCGGCGAGGAGGGCTTGCAAGAGAGAACGGGCAGGCAGCCTTCTTGCGTTGGCACACGTCTACTCAGGGCTGAACCTGAACGGTGTTTTTCGTTCTCGTTTTGCTCTCGCTTTCCATCGTGTTTGTCTCGAGTCCGCCTTTACCGCGGAACGAACTCGAAACGAAAACGGCCCCCGAAATCGCCAAAACACAGTTTAGGTCCAGCCCTGGGACAGTCAGCCTTCTTGAGCTGGCACACATCTAGTTCAGCGAGGCAGCACCCGAAGCAGGACACCAAGCAGAAGCCCAGACTTGGCAGCACTGGTCTGAAGGGCAGTGGCGTGAGGAGGGAGGAGATCGAGTCGTCACGACGCACCGGGCACCGTTGTACGCCCTGATGATTGCAACTTCTCATGCGACTCTGCCTGCCATCTCGCTGATTATTCGCCCTCCCCGCCTCAGGACACGTGTCTGGTGTGCCAGGCTCACTGACATCCAAACCCCTGAAAATCCAGGTGATGGTGGCCACCTCCTGCCCTAGTGAGAAAGCCGCGATGGTGATCCTCCGTCTTCGCCCCCCTCGAGCTTCCTCGTCCGCCTCCTCAGCCTACTCTTGCTCTTTCGTCCCCCTCCTCCTCCACTTCTCTCTTCGTCCTCCTCGTTTCCGTTTCCTCCTCCTCCACCTTCTCCTCGTCATCACCATCACCACCCACCACCACCACCACCATCATGATGATGAGAATTATCACCATCACCACCACCACCACCATCATCATCATCATCATTACCAGCACCACCAGCATCATCATCATCGTCACTATCCCCATCGTCATCATCGCCATCATCGTCGCCACCGTAACCATATCATCATTGTCCTCCTTCTCATCATCACCAACATCACCATCACCATCATCAGAATCATCATCATCATCATCATCATCATCATCATCATCATCATCATCATCATCATCATCATCATCATCATCATCATCATCATCATCACCCCCACCACCACCACCACCATCACCATCACCATCACCACCATCATCATCATCACCACCACGATCATCATCATCCATATTATCATCATCAGAATCATCATCAGCAGCAGCAGCAGCATCCTCATCACCATCATCATTAGCATCATCCTCCTCCTCCTCCTCCTCCTCCTCCTCCTCCTCCTCCTCCTCCTCTTGCTTCTCCTCCTCCTCCTCCTCCTTCTCCTCCTCCTCCTCCTACACGTTTTCCCCCCCTTCCCCTCCGACCCCTTCTGCTCTTCCCACTCCGCTCCTCCCCCTCATCGCCCCCCCTCCTCCTCCCTCCTGCTCCTCCTCCTCCATCCTCCTCCCCTCCCATCCTTCCGCCGCGAGCGGGTCGGTACGCTCAAGCCCGACGCCGCCCGCTGAACCTGAAGAGCATGTCGTGGACATCTCCCGCGAGCCTTTCCATCAGCCCCCCGAACGCCTCCGCGCCCGCCCGCCCCCCTGTGCGGCGGCGCCGCCTGCCCGGCTGGCCCCGGCCGCCGCGTCGGCGGCGCCTGCGGAGCAGCCGCCGGCGAGGGCGGCGGAGACGGTCTGCGCCCGCTCGGCGGTGTGGTCCTGCAGCCGCCTGCGGATGGCTCGCCCTCGCCTCCTTCATCTACTCATCCTGCCTTCTTGTCCTCGTCCTCCTTCTCATCGTCCTCCTTCCTCGTCCTGTCTCCTCGTCCTGCTTGTCCTCGTCCTCCTCCTAATCGTCCTCCCAATCGTCCTCCAAATCCTCCCCCTCTTCCTCCTCCAATTCCTCCTCCCCCTCCCTCTTCATCATGATCACCATCATATAGAATCATCAGTATCCTCCTCCTCCTCCTCCTCCTCCTCCTCCTCCTCCTCCTCTCCTCATATCATCATCATCATCATCATCATCATCATCATCATCATCATCATCACCACCACCACCACCACCATCATCAATCATCATCATCATCATCATCATCATCATCAATCATCATCATCATCATCATCATCATCATCATCAATCATCATCATCATCATCATCATCATCATCATCAGCATCATCATCATCATCATCATCATCAGCATCAGCATCAGCATCATCATCATCAGTTTCAGCATCAGCATCAGCATCATCATCATCATCATCAGCATCAGCATCATCATCAGCATCATCACCACCATCATCATCATCATCATCATCTCATAATCATCATCATCATCATCACCATCAGCACACACAGCATCATCACTATGATCATCCGCATGATCATGGCCATCCTCATCACCATCATTAGCATCAACATCATCATCATCAGCATCATCATCATTATAATCATTAGAATCAGCATGATCATTGTCACCGTCACAACCCGTATCATCACCATAGTGCAAAGCAGAGCCACCATGATCGGCACGATAACCAAAAGCATCCTCATCGTCGTCATCAGAATCATCACCCTCACAATCCGCCGACACCTTGGGGTCTCTAGGCGTGTGAGATTTCCCCCCATAGAGTCCCCCCACTGGGCCAAACTGTTGTCTCCGTCGCTCCACCGCCGCTTCAGCACTTTGACATTGGGCGCTACTGTCAACGCGCGTAAACGGGAAGCGCTTCACAGCATTTCACGGCGCGGCACACTGTCAATGGGGCCCACGGCACCGCGGGCCAAGCTACCTGCGAGGCCATTTGACACTGGGCGCCACTGTCAACGCGCGTGAACGGGAAGCGCGTTACCGACATTGACAGCGCGGCGCACTTTCAATGGGGCCCGCAGACGGCATGGCCGCACAGGCCACCTTCGAGGCCATTAGACAGTGGGGCCCATTGCCAAAGGGCCCCATGTCCCCAGGGGGGCCCGACACATTTGACAGCGTGGCCAACTGTCAACCAGGGACCTGGGGGCAATTTGACTGTGAGGCCCACTGTCAAACAGGGAATTCCCATGTCACATGCCGCAACCTGCTCTGATGAAGAAGAACTCAAACGCGCCAAAACAGCATCTCGATTGAGAGTGACCCGAAATTCGCCGACCCCTTGGGGTTCATCGGCGCGTGAAATGTTTCCCCCTCCCCAAACCACTCCCCCGGGAACCCGGTCCGTTCGATTCGGATGGGGGGTCCCCCGGATTGTGGGTTAACGCACCGGGGGGGGCAAAGGGTTCCAATACAGGCAAAGAGGGCCCCAAGAGGCCTTTGGGGCGGTCGACGAGGGCCACGAGTCGGTGAAAGATCGATCCAAAATGCCAAACGGCCCAAGAAGCCCCCAAGACGCCCCAAGAACCCCCAAGCTTTCCCTGATGGCCTCCACAAGCAAAGACCGTCCAATTCCCTTTGGAAAACGCGCGCTGTTTCCTCCTGGGCGTTCACGACGTCCCAGAAGGCCCAAAGGGCTTTCAAGCCAAAAGGCCCCCAAGAGGGCTCCAAGACGACCCAAGAGGGCCCCAAGACGGCCCAAGAAGCCCCCAAAACGGCCAAGGAGGGCCCGAAGGCAGCCCCAAGAGGGGGCCCAGAGGGAAAACCCGAACGGACATGTCGAGTCATACACCCCAAGACGCCTCCGGGTTGCCCCAAGGAGCCCCCAACAGGTCACCCAGGGAGCCCAAAAATGGCTGCAAAAGAGCCCACGAGGGCCAGGAGGCTTCCAAGAGGTTCAAGAACTTCCTACAAAAACGCCCCGAAACGCCTCCCAGGAGACCCCATCTGCCACCGCAGACCCGCATCCCAGGCACGGTGACGGGACGTGCCGAAGGCCATTCAATAATCATTCGCCGGGTACTTCGACACATGCCCCCCGTCTGTAAACGTGGGTTCTCGCCCGTTGCCCCACGGGCGCCAGTTACGACGCGATGCACCCAACCAAGTTGATCAAGTGGCAGGAGAATCGGGGATGGACAGACCCCCCTTTAGTAAAACGTGGTTTAGTGAAAACGACCTGAGGCCCAAACCTGGCGGGCGCAAGCCTGGAAAATAACGGCCACGGCGCCCTCTCGAGAACCGAAAACGGACAATTCACTGATCGACGTGTCACTGCTGGGGTTTCTGTCCACCCCCGACCCAAATTTGCCAGGACAGTGACAGCGCGGGCACCGTTATGTCCTGTGCCAGCTGCATGGGATGCGCTCACGCGGCCCCGATTCACAAGACCACACCAGAAGGACGAGGCGCGAGGGCCCGGGCTCGAGGACACGGGGGCGGGAACGAAGGGCAGGAGAAGGACGCGCGGAGGGCCAAACCGTCAGCGCAGGCAGAAGTACCCATCGGTCGGAAGAAGTAGGTAGAAACATAAAGTAGGAAGGCGTTGGAAATAGATTGGGTTTCCGCCCGCCTCCTGAAGAGGAAGGAAGAGGGAAAACCACTCGACTCTTGAAGTAGGAAGGCGCTGAAAGTAGATTGGAATCTGGGAATCCAAAAATACCTACTTTCAACGACCGGTGGGGACAGGGAAGGTGGCAGGGGGCAGAGGACGACGACGACAAGGACGAGAGGAGTCCGAAGAGTGTTGCTTGTGTCGGTCGTGCGCTGAAGATGCAGCGCTGACTGCGCCATGTCGCCGCGGCGCTCGAACAAGTTGTTCAACCTGCTTGAAATTAGTGCAAGAGCCGCGATGGCACCGCCGCGGCAGCACGTGCCGGACCTCCTCGGTCCAAGAGGGCACAGAGTCGTTGAATGATCGCTCCAAAACGCCCAAGATGGGCCCAAGACAGCCCAAGAAGGCGCCAAGACTCCCCAACAGGCTTCCGAAAAGAGGCCCACGAAGCCAAAATCGTCCCATTCCTATGGGGGGAAACGTACACTTGTTGTATATACGACTGTTCGGCCTTCACGGCGTTGACAAAGGCCCACGAGGCCGCCAATACCGCCCCAAGAGGGCCCCAGAGGTTCCCAAGAGGGCCCCAAGACGGCCCAAGAAGGCGCCAAGACGGCCCAATAGGCGCCCAAGAGGGCCCAAAAGAGCTGGAAGACAGCCCCAAAACGGGCCCGAGAGGGGGAGCCCGAACCGAACATCCGAGCCTTCCACCCCAAGACGCTCCCAAGAGTGCCTAAGGTGTCCCCAAGAGGCCCGAAGAGGCCTCCAAGAGGCTTCCAAGAAGCCCAAGAGGCTCCCAAGAGGCCCAAAAGAGGCCCCAAAAAGGCCGCCAAGAGGCTTCGAAACTGCCTCCAAGAGTCCGCGAACCACCAAGACGTCAAAATCATCGACATCCGTTCGGAAACGATTATATCCTCACGGACATCCCAGAGGCTTCACACCCAACCCAGCCACGATGGCGGGATGGGCCGAAGGCCACTAGAGAATGCCACTGAGTCCAGCGGCCCGACGGTGCCGCCCCAGGAAGCCCGATCCATCGATTCTATTATCAAGTCTTTCCTTGGACCCAAACCGTAACGTCGGCCATCTCCCTTCAGAAAACATACACTTTTAGCATATCCGACTCCTGCCCCTCAAATCGTCACTCCTCCTTCTCCTCCTACTCCGAGGACCCTCCTCCGCCTCTCCCCCATCCTCCCCATCTTCCTCCTCCTCCTCCGCTTTCTCCTGTTTACCATGTCACCATCTCCGCGTCTCATCATCAACAACATCACCACCAGCATCATCATCGCCATCACCCGCACTATGACCACCGCCATCACCATCACCACCACCGCGGATCACCATCACCACCCTCACGGATCACTGCCTTGTCGCGTGTCTGGACACATGTGATGCAACCCGCATCCGCCAACGCCATTCGGGGCCTCCAGACGTGTAAGATTCGTCCCGTGAAGGGCCCCACATGCCCCCGGACTCGCTCGGGGATGGCCCCGAAAAGCCTCGAGCCCGCCCACCCAAAGAAACAAGACAACACAAGTACGCCCCAGGACAGCAACACGACATCCTCAAGACGATCAAGGGGTCGGCGGATGTGGCGCAAGCCTATAGAATCAATTGTTCCGGTCGGTTTCTGACGAGCCAGGCCCATCAAGGACCCCTAGAGAGCGACAATGCAGAAAACACTCGGGTCGTAGGTAACCTCTTCATGACGTCGGAGATCTGGCCCCGTAGAGAGGGGCCGCGAAGAGGAAGTACAGAGGGGCGAGCGGAAAAGATAGGGAAAAGAAAAACAGGAATTCCCGATTTAACCGATCGGAATTCCGGGTTTCGCGTTTCGCCGGAACTCCGGTTTCGAGCCGAATCATGGGTTTCGAAGCGAATTCGGAGATTCGCGGTTGAGGCCGATTCCAGGTTTCGACCAAACGGATTGGGGCTGATTCCAGGATTGAGCTCTCCAACCCTGCTGATTCATTCGACAACACTCACTGGACTCCTCCTGCCACTATTACTCCTTCAGTGGAGAGGCCCCGCGTCTGCTTCTGCGCTCCTGC